ACTTGGTTAAAATCTTGTAATTCCCTTCCTAACATCACTGTGATGTACTTAAACCACTTGGACAGCAGCAGTTCAAGTAGGGAGCTTCCCAGTGTCTTCTTATGAGAAAATAAATCAATGCTACATCCCAAAAAAAAACAAGTAAAAACCTTGTAATTCCACTCATTCTTCTTTTTCTAGGTACCATTTCATTGTCCCCTCCGAATAGCCAACGCTTAGGTTCATCCTAATCTTATTGATCTTGCACACCCATCCGTCACAGTAAGCTTGTGCAAATGTGGTCATTCCATTCTCTTCACCCATTGCACTTCTCACAATGATAACTCTCTGCTCTCTTTCACTGTCTGAGAAGACCGCACGAGCCCAAGGAGAGTCAAGGACCAGGGTTGAACCTGGAACTGTAGCCACACAGGCTGCTCCCACAACAGAGAAATGAGCTTTAGAGGTCAGCATACTCCAAGAATGTAGTTGATAGAGATAAGACTCTTCCACAGGTCTGGATAATACATTGCCCCATGGGATATAACATCCATTTTTGATAAATTGATATCACCAATAACAGCAGTATAATTCCATTTAGAATGTAGAGTTAGTACCTCTTCACCATGTCAGCATTGAAATATGTCTCAGCTCCAACAAATCCTTCAAGGCTGATAGAGAGAAGCAGCACAAGGAGGCCAAGAAATCCTCAAAGGAGGGTATGTACTCTGAGGATGCACTACTGCATAACTCATGTGAAACTCTTTGATCTGCAGATACACACACATCACTGTGCACTGCATTAGAGACAGATAGGTTGTCACATGAGGCATACATTACATCTGAATCGGTGCTAAAAACAAAAAAGCATTAGAGAGTCCACAATGGACGATATGGGAGATGCCAAGCACTGGTCAGCTGGATGAAGATACTGAGCTTGGGAAGTGATCCAAAAAAAAACAGCACATCTGAAACAGCAACTAAAATGTGTACGCTTTTATCGGGACTTTGAGAAGCAGTGCACACTCTTGGAGAGAGATTAAAGGAGTCTATTTCTGGTATGAATGTTATGATGTCAGGTATTTGTGCTGATATTCATCTCCATGGAAAAAAAACCACTTGTACGGCAAAGTGGGTACAGCAAGAATACAAGTGATGGTCCTGATCGATGGCCTGCAAACTCAGTCTGCCACTTAGCCTAGCATGGAGGAAAAATTCACCTTGGTAGTTCAATATCTCACCAAAATACTGGTACTGTTCTCCGACTCCTAACTAGCAGCGAAGTGCAGGTGCACATGAGACTAAAGATGGAGGATGGGCCCATGGAAATGGAACTCATCTAAAGGGTGCAGTTGCAGCGGTCTTTGGCAGGGGTCTCACAGATTTCAAAACTCAGAGGGCACCTTCCAAATGCATTTCATCTCAGATCAGGGAATAAACAGCCTGGCCCTACCTTTGCTAAAGTCACAGGAGTTATAGAGTCATAGATTCATACAGAACGGAAACAGAACCTTTGGTCCAACTCGTCCGTGCTGACCAGACATTGCAACCTGACCTAATCCAATTTGCCAGCATTTGGTCCATAACCCTCCAAACCCTTCCTATTCAAATACCCATCAAGATTCCTTTCAAATGTTGTAATTATACCCACCTTCACCATTTCCTTCGGCAGCTTTTTCCATATACGCACCACCCTCTGCACGAAAATTTTACCCCTCAGGTCCATTCTAAATTTTTCCCCTCTCACCTTAAACCGATGCCCTCCAGTTTTGGACTCCACCACCCTAGGAAAAAGACCTTGGCCATTACCCTATTCATGCCCCTCATGATTTTACAGACCTCTAAGGTCACACCACAGTCCCTGACACTCCAGGGAAAAATGCCCCAGCCTATCCAGCCTCTCCCTATTACTGTAACCCTCCAGCCCTGGCAACATCCTTGTAAATCTTTTCTGCACCTTCTCAAGTTTAACAATGTTTATGAAGGGCAACCAGAATTGTATGCAGTATTTCAAAAGTGGCCTCATCGATGTCCTGTACAGCTACAACATGACTTCCATACTCCTATACTCAATGTTCTGACCAATGAAGGCAAACATGCCAAACGCCTTCTTCACCACTCTGTTGAACTGTGACTCCACCTTCAAGTGACTATGCACCTGCACCCCTAAGTCACTTTGTTCGGCAACACTCCCCACAGCCCTACCATTAACTGTATAACTTCTACGTTGGCTTGCCTTACCAAAATGCAACACTTCACATTTGTCTAAATTAAACTCCATTTGTCACTTCTTGGCCCATTGGCCCTCTGATCAAGGTTCCGTTGTACTCTGAGACAATCTTTTAGACTGTCCACTACACCACCTATTTTGGTGTCATCTCCAAACTTACTAACCACTCCTCCTATATTCACATCCAAATCATTTATATAAACGATGAAAAGCAGTGTACCCAGCACTGATCTGCACCATATAGAGCAATAAGAAGACTTTTAGCTAAAGAGAATATTTTTAGGTGCGTGAACAATGTTTGTAGCATTATGTATATACTTATTTAAATGAATCAAACACTTCACATGAATTGTTCATTAGTTTACCATCCTTTTAAGTATGCTAAATTCCAAATGCACTGTAGCCTTCAGGTAAATGGTATGGAATGATCAGAGTGGAAGACAAGGAAAGGATGTGAATGTTGTGGTTAAATTTTTGGATTGTGAGAATTAATGATGATATTTGACAGCTGCATGAGAAAATAGACTGTACAGGATGAGAAAATAGGCTGGGAAAGTTTAGAATAATTCTTAACAAGCTGCATGACCTTGAATGAGTTCTGTGAACATTCCTTTATGAGCCGAAGATGACACCTCCACTTGTTTTCCCATCCTATGTTGTCTGTACCAGCCAGCAGTTTTGTCTTGTTGTATCTGCTTTCCTTATGTTGGCTATTTGTCACACTGTATAAGACAGAATTTCGTTCCAAGCTGCTGTTGCTAATGCTACTGTTGCTGATCCTGCTGCTGCTACTGGACTTCACTTCAGCTCGGAATCGTGAACAGTGACAGGGATGAATCAAGCCTCCAGACCAGTCATCAATTGAGTGGTCCCCATCAGGCATGACACTTGTTGCTTTTTCTGGAAAGGTGTGATACTTGCTGCTTTTTTCCTCTTTTCTTTTCCATTTATTATTACCACTATAATTGTTTATTGTTGCCATTATAATCATTTATTATTACTTAATAAACATTCATATTTAAGCAAATTGCTGTTGTTGAGCCTTCTCTTTGTTATATTTGCCCGAATCTGAAAAGAGCCACTTTGATTTAATACAGTGGGAGGCACACAAGGTTTATGATTACACTGCGAAATGGCTTCACACACTCAGATTAGCTGAAGCATGCCATTGCAGCCTCTCTGGCAGCCAGGTGACAACTGATGCCTGCCCTCATCCCATGACTCAGCATTCATTGCCCCTCCAACTCTACTGACCACTAACAGACCCACTCCCATTACAGATAACCATACACCGCCAAAGCCGTCCACATACCTTCAACTGTGTTTCTCTATGGATCTACCCAGATCTAACATTTACTGCTGCTTGTGTGCCTGACCTGACCTCTGCTCCCTTGGACCTGACATCCATTTGAACCCCACCGGAACCAAAATCACATTCTCCAATTTGTGACACGCATTACGACCTTATCAGAACCCAACTCACACAACCACCCCCCGACCCATCAACTTCCTCACTTGAAGTCCATAGACCACTCTCACACCCTCTCCCTGACTTTCTGCCTCCCTACCTCCTTGGACTAAAAACCCCCTGACCCAAACCCCCATAGATCCAATTTCCTCCCCTGATTTGACGCCCCCCCACCTGATACCTGTACTCATCATGCACTTATCATCCTACCACCTCAGCTGCTTGGCTCATATCTCAGCCACTTTACCTCACCCATCTAGCACCCTCACACTCAAACCACCTGCCACCTATACATACTTACCCTTTTTCTCAGTAGCTGTCAAAGTGGCTTAAGGACACCTAGACCACAGGATGTGGCACTTACTGATGAGAAAGAGGGGTGGTCTTAGTGCTGATCCACTCTGCTACTGGTTGCATGTATTTCTGCCTGTGACTGAAAAGTCTCTGGTCTGAAATTTGCTTGAAAAACTGGATTAAAGGTAAATGGGCAACTTTTAGTCTGATTTCGGTGGGAAATAGGGATTCTAACTGAGATCAGAAGATTCAGATCATTTTGTCTTTTGAGTTGGAACTTTGTGTCTATGTGTCCTGAGAAACAAACATGTGGCCACTGCCGTTGGTGTTATTGCTGCTCCAGATGTTCCTCCAGAGGTCCAGGCTTTAACTGTATCATGTTGTTGTAAAGGTATGACAGCAGGGAGGATCAGATCAAAGTGGGTAAAGTCCAAGGTAGGTGAAATGGCTTCCAAACAGTTGGAAATCATCCATCAATTGTTGTAATCAATGTCTGAACAAGTGTTTTGAATGCATGCCTTTTACATGGACAGGTCAGCAACTATTTCATGTCTCAGTTTCATTGATCAATTACTCTGCAAGGTGTTCTTGCCTAGTTAATTCCACATAGCTCTGGAAACCTGAGCACTGGTAATAAAGTCAGAATCCTGAGTTTAAACTATAATTATTTGCTTATTTGGATATTTAAAGCACTGACTCAATAGATCTACAGAGTTTTTTTTTAGCTTGCCTGGGAATAAATTTCATTAAATCCCAGGAGTGGTGGGATCATTTTGATTTTCCGACCGACAACATTTAACTCCCAGCTGAACCCCAAACTGGAACCTACCCCCAGAAGGCAGTTAAAGAAAAGCTACCCTTGAACAACCAACATAATTCTGAGTGCTGTATGTGCCCTATTTCCTCCTTTTGCCCAAAGTGCATCTTATTGCCATATGGTTGCCAGATGGTGCCTAAATAACAAATGTTCAAGTATAACTTTGGACTGAAAATAAACTACAACTTAATACAAGACAAAAATATATGTACCTTTGAGAGAAATTGCTTCTGTCAAGCTTGGCAAAACATATTCAGTGAGAGAAATACTTTTATCCGAGTACCCCCAAGCAGCAACTGCATCTGCTAAGATCTTTATTCGTTTGTACCTGGAATTGTGTGTAGAGAACTTGTCTAATGTTAGCCAAAACCATCATTTACAGAAAACATTAGGTAAAAATAAAGGTGGTCAGAGTTACATTCAATATAAATAAAACATGAGAGTATAATTTACTTTTCATACTAAAATTTCCATTTTAGAACAACATTTAAATTTAATTTTGATAGGTCTCCTTCCAAATTTTTTCTTTGTTATGGTGTTCAATCAAGGGATTGATCACATATTCATTAAATTATAGAATAATTAATTACAAAGAAGGAAGCCATAAAGTATCAGCTAAACTCCTTTTCTCACTGCTGCAGGCAGCAAGAGGTACAGTCAACTTTTTTGTGAAGGTTGGCAGCCTTTTCAAGAGGACATGAAAAAACAATTGCCTCAAATGGAAATTCATGCAAAGTGAACAGTAGGGCATACAGAAGGATCCAGACTGATGGATACAGTGCTAAAAGCATTGATGGTTCAGTTGAGCAGGAGGATGAATATTATGATCCCAGTAAGTGCCAAAAGATCCCCTAGACCATCCTCAGAACAGAATTTGAGCAGGTGACCAAAGGGTCAACTAACTCCTGAGCCGGAATCATTTATAGAAGTGATCGCTCTGTTCCCCAATCTGGTTGGAAAATCAGGTATAATCCTGCTTCCATTGTGTTGAGTCACCCTGCAATCATTTTACAGCTGCTGGGCTAATAATTCGCTGCAGGCAATACTTCCCCTGCAACCATCAAGAGGGAAGTCCTGACTCCCCATCAGAGAGTGAGTGGATCTTTAGTTCAATTAATGCTACAGGGAACACTGCCTAGTGCTGGAACAACAGGCTGTCCCTAAAGAAGAGGTGCTATGGGCCCAGATTTAAAGGTAAGTCTGTGGTTTTGCCAGGATCAGAACGTCAGAGCCCGATGAAGAGTGTAGAATAGGGCCAGGTTTTTCAGGGCAGGAGGAAAGCCATGGGTGGTGCGTTGGGAATCTAGCTTGGGGGTCCCAAACAGAAGGTATACGACCATCTCCCAGTGTTTCCCTATAACTCTCAAGTCCCCTATACTTCAAGAATCTGAGCAATGAATATATTCAGTGACTGTCTCCAAAGCTCTCTGGGATAGAGAATTTTAAGATTCACGATCCATTGTGACAAACTCTACACTTTGCAAAAAAGCTTGTAATTTTGAGGTATCCCTGTAGGTCTAAACGAAACCAAGAGTTATGGAAAGAGGGGTAATCAGACGTCCTAGCTATTGAATAATTTCTGAGAACTCAGATGGCTGAGACTGCTAGACAGACACAATACATAATGCAGCAAAGCTATGACCTGACATTGTGACTTAACATTGATATTGGGATGGCAGCTTGATACCTAGAAAGATGGAAACTAATTGGTGGTGTCAGGTTACAGCTTGTGTTTAGCAGCATAGCAGAATTCTTGTGAGCAGAAATAGCAAATCTCTCTGAAAAAGGTCAGTTTTCTGTCTAGTAGTTAAGAAGACCCCTAGATGCCGTTGGTGAAGTTGTAAACAGTTGTAGTAACTGTTTAAAGAGATATTCATGTTCCTATCGTAATATTATTTGTTTGTTAATGCAAGCTTAATTTTACATTTGATTTTTGGAAAGTCAGTGGCTGAGCAACAACAGACATTTAAGCTGCTATTTATAATGCTCAGCCAAAAAAATTCCAGTTAAAAGGACTCAATGAGAAAGAGGAGTCATCCATGACAACAAAAGGTAGTCAAGGAGACTATTCAATCATAAATAAAGCAGACAAAGCAGCGAAACTAATGGTAGGCCAGAGGATTGGTTTAGGAACCAGCTGAGAATGACTAGAAAACTAATATAGGGGCAGAAAAATGATTATGAAAATAAACAGGCAAGAAATATAAAAACAATATCAAGAACTTCTATACGTATATAACAACAGAGTAGCTAAACTAAGTGCGAGACCCTTCAAGGATGCAACCAGGGAATTAATAATGGAGAACAGGCAATTGGCAAATAATTTAAGTAAATATTCTGCACTGGTCTTCATGTTGGAGGACACTAAGTATCCCAGAGATAACAGATAATGGAAGGAAAGATCATGAACATCTCTATAACGAGGGACAAAATATCTGACAAATTCATGGTCTAAAGGCAGACAGATTACCGGGACCTGATGGCCTACATTCAAAGGCTTTAAACAAGTGGCTGCAAACAAAGTATAGGCATTGATCTGAATATTCCAGAAATTTGAGGGTACCAGCAGGTTGGAAAAATACTACTGCGATGCCCTGTTCAAGAGGGGAAGTAGACAGAAAGCAGGAAACTGTACTCCAATTGGCCCAATATCTATTGTTGGGAAAATGCTGGAGTCCATTATTAGGGAAGAAGTAGGAGGACATTTAGAAAAACACAGAGTTAACAAGGTTTTGTGAAAGGGAATCACATTTGACAAAGTTTTCTGAGGATATAAAAAGCTGAATAAATAAAGGGCAACTGATAGAGTGTACACAAAGGCATTTGATAAAAAGTTATTGCACAAGAGCTCATGAATTAGCATGGGCTGACATGTGGAAGACAGAGTCAGAATTAATGGGTCTTTTTCGGGTTGGAAAGACATAACTGTGGAGTGTCACAAGGATTAGTCCTGGGACCTCAATTATATAATATCTATTTTAATAACTTTGATGACAGGGTGAAGTGTTATGCATCAAAATTTGATGATGATACAAAAATAGGTGGGAGGGCATATTGTAATGAGATCAAAAGGAATCTACAAAGGGATATAGATAGTGAAGCAACAAATGCTGCACAGAGGGATCTGAGTGTTCTTGTGCATCAAATTCAATAAGTTGTCATGCAGGTGCAGCAAGTAATTAATGCAAATGTAATTTTAGCCCTTATTGCTTGAGGTTTGGAGTTATAAAATATGAAAATTTTTTTACAACTGTTCAGGGTGTTGTACAGGCTGCACCTGGAGTATTGTGTACAGTTTTGGTAGCTGTAATTTAAAAATAATGTAACGGAATTGGAGACAATTCAAAAGAGATTCATTAGGTTGAATCTTGGGATGAAGGGATTGTCTTATTGATTAGGTTAGATTTTATTATTCAGAGTTTAGAAGAATGTGGGGGAGACATTAAGAAGATGTTTCCACGAGTGAGAGAATCTTGAACTACGGGACATAGTTACAGAGGAAGGGGACACTGATTTAGAACCAAGATGCAAAGGAATTTCTTGTCCCACAGGGTAGTAAATGCTTAGAATTCTCTACCTAAGAGAGTTGTGGAAGTTAGATCATTGAAAGTATTTAAAGTGAAGGTGTACAGATATTTGAAACGTGTGAGAGTTAGCGGCTATAATGAGCTGAGACGAAAGAAGAGTTCAAGCGTGGGACAGATCAGCCATGATCTTAATGAATGGGACAGGCTTGAGGAGACAAATTGCCTACTCTGCTCCAATTTCTTATATTCTTACCTTTAAGTGGCCATCATTTATTTTAGTTACCTGCTCCCTTTCATATAATAGTAAGATTTGTTTTTATATTCCTTATTAATTTTGAGGCAATAAAACACTTTTGGAATATAGGTATATTATAACATAATGTAGCATAAAATACTAATGCCACAAGCCTGTATGCACCACCGTCTGGAAGTGATTCTGACTATTATCCTAGAGATCCTTGTCCTTATTTTATTGTGTAACTATTGAAACTTTCTTTGTAGGATGCCAATTTTATTTCTTTTTGGGTCCAACTCAAATCACACCTGTTTCTCTTCCCTTTCAAAAACCTTATGTCAATACTGTCCTTTGTCCTGGTATGTCTACTAACTATAAGTAGAACATTTCAGTAATATTTAAACATAGGAAAATTCCAAGCCTTGGAATTCACTCCAGAAATAACCGAAAAGGCATGGTAATTAGACATCAACTACTACTGCTACTATTAGACATCAACAAATATTCTTCTCGAATACCTGAGTCTGATTTGTTTATTCACCATGTCTAGCACTTCCCATTGTTGCATTTTCTGATTAATTTCTTGGATTATATTAGTTTTGACTTGAATTGGTACATATTTAGTTTCTTTTGCAAATTTTAGGTTCTTGAGTTTCTTTTCTAGTTTCCTCAGGTGTTTACATAGATCCTCCACATTTGTAGATTCCTGCAATGTCAAACCTATTACAGAAACAGTACAAAAGAAAACACAGCTTCAAAGCACTGTACTGCAGTTGCTTCCTGTTTACATGTAAAGTCCTGCCTACAGAATGCATAGCCCATAATTATTCCATTTATGGTAGGAAGGACCTAAATGACAAGTAAATTGACATGTTGACAAGACTATAAATATTGTTAATGCAGCATACTGATATTTGGCACAGCAATTCTAACCTGCAGATTTCTAATAATACAAACAAAGTATGTGGTTTAAACTAAACTGTAGGAAACAGTGGTAGCCCCACAATTCAATGGTCAAAAGCAGCACATTCTATAATCAGGACTATTCAGCATATGTCTAATTCTTCACGTTCTGACTCTTTCAAACTAGATAACTGCAATGTGGAAAGGACAAGCAAAAATTCCTCACAAGATGGCATAGAAAACTGAAGGAACAATCACTCCTGTACATCTCCAAACTATCCTTTCCTGTCATTTGTAAAGTCCTGGAATGAGGCTGCCTTCTTGGTTATGGCTGGTGTAGGGTTTGATGGATTCAAACAAGGATAATGGAATAATATAATTCAATAACCATTTAAATCTAAAATTTTTGCAAAGTGTTCACTTATCCAATATTAAACAATTAAGACATAACAAAGATAAAAAGATATTTCAAAATGTTCAGACAAATTTCAGACCTGGAATACTTGTAATATGAAAGACATCTTCCTGTGGTGGTAAAGTCTCCTCTGTTTGCTCCTTTTGAACATGTCTTGAGTTTCTTACTGCCTGCAGCTGAGCTTCTAATCCAGCAGTATTTTGTTTAATGAGATCAATTCTGTCAAAAGAATGTCCATTATCTAATGAAATAATAAAAAACTTACATTTATACGGCACTTAACTTCATCTCAGGCTAACAAAAAGTGCTTTGCAAACCACAAAAGTTATTTTTATGAGGATTAGTGAAGAATATTTAATACAATTTTTATTTGTTACAATCCTTAAATGACCACTATTCTTTTCTCAGGGTGATTTGCTATCAGGTACCTCCAAAGGTCACTCTTCATCTGAGGTGGACACACAAAATTTGTCCTCTAATTATTCCACCCTTTTCAACAGTGTTGCACAGCTAAGTGCCAAAACAATCACAGAGGAGAATTAGAGGTTGATTTTCCTTTTTCTGCCAAAGTCCAGCAATCATACAATTTTGTGAAGACTGGAGTATGGAATCGTAACATCTTTTAGGCAAGTGATTTTCCATCTCTTCTCATCTTAATAGCAATCTTTTATTTTGAAATATTGCCCTTTTCTCTAGATACAGGCTATGAGGGAAACCATCCTCTGAGCATCTACTCTGTCAAACCAATTCAGAATCTTCTATATTTCAATAAGGTCAGACCTTATTCTTCTAAACTGAAGTGGGTATAGGCCCAATCGTAACCTTTTTCCATAAACAAACTTCTTCATGCTAAGAGTCAACCTAGTGAATCCTTTGTGGACTATCTCCAAAGTGGCTTTCCACTTGACTGAACATATGTCAGCTGGAAATTGAGTTATCAGCTGGCTGCTTAGAATGGGGGATAATTACATAAAATTTGGAAGCACATTTCAGAAACCTGAGGAATGAGACATAGAAACAAAACAATGAATGTTATATGACCACCAGATATAAAAAACATCAGCATTTTGAAGACAAACTTCAGATGCCTGGACATGACTGGAGACAACTTCAGCAAGCATAAGCCAGCGTTCCCAGAATAGCCCAGATAGGCTGTGTTGTGCATAACATTGTGTAGTAGCAAAATCTGAATAATGAGGGCGAACAAAGGACACAGCCTCTTTGGTTGATTCCGAGGGTGAAGAAAACAAGAGGAACTAGTAAAAGGCAGAGGGAAATGTGGACAATGCATTACCAGAGGTCCACAGTGTTGTCTGGGATTGCCCTCGTTATTGAGAGGTTCACTTCAACCACCAAGAGTCTTGAAATGTACCCTGCTGAGAATTGTCTCATTATAAAGGGCAGAAGCATGGAGTAAGCAGTAAAATGAAACAAACTGCATAGCATGCTACATCACCATAGCCATCCCATTTTCTGGCTTATGAAATGGGTATGATTCTAGATCAGGTGCCGGTGCAGACAGTGGCTCTCTTTGTCATCCCAGAACACCCTCCCAAAGGAACATCACTGCAACTTGTTTCAAAGGATTTGAAGTCAGACTTAAGATCTATGACTGTTAATGTCAATAACTATGCAGTTTTATCCATGTTCATGTTAGTTGTAGGAATCATTTGCAGCAAATGTCAGAATTCCATGTCAGGTTTTCCGTTAATTGGGATGCAAAGCTAGTTTTCCCGTCCTTATCACTGCCCGTCCTGGCATGCATAACTTCCTATAAATGCTTTCGTATTGCACATGCAACTACGTAATTGGAATGCTTTCAAAATTGTTAACATTAATTAGGTCTTTATACGTTCTGTTTGTAAAATTCGATCTGACATCACAGCTTCCCTTGATAATTAGCTTTTACACAATCCTGTGATAAAACAATATAATCAGACCGCCATCTATGGATGCTCAAACCAATAGGTACTTGGGCTTTGTCGGTCTTCTTCTTCTTCCTACAACAGAAAAACTGCAAATACAAGGAGATATCCATGTGCGAACCCAATGTTGACACCTGTGGCAAAAAAAAATGATTGCGCCACTTGAAATAACTCTTCAGAGGCTGGCATCCCAACACCAATCACCCTTTATTTAATCTTTGACCATAGTACTGCTTCTTCTTAGTCATACAATAGGAGGACCAATATCCCTGATATGCACCCTTTTATGTCAGCCAGGTCTCCCTGATTGGACCAGATCAACAGCCCCAATCAGAAAACTTATATTTTATGAAGTCCAGACCTTGTTGCAATCACTACACCACTGTATTTTATTCCGTCTGTGGAATTAAAGCAACAAAGCTACAAACAGCCTGAAAATGCTCTTAGCTCTCAGAATACAAGATTCTGAAATGTACTTATTTTTCAATGACTAGCAACTCTGAATATCCAATTTCAATATGAAGGTCCACAAATTAGTGCTATGGAGTAGGAATACTGAGAGATTAAGGACTGCATATTACACTGAGATCAGCTCCCTGCATCCCAACATAAATTTTGGGGGCAAGTTATTTCCATTGGTTGGCTTGTTGTGCTTTATCAAGCAATGGCCCATTAATTAGTCTGAGGTGGATCATCCATCCATATCCAGGAGACTGTTCTGTCTCATAAAAGTGGTAGTAGAGCTACCATGGGCTACAGGTAGACCAAGGATATATGCCAAGATCTCACTGGGACCAGGCCACCAGATCCCATGAAGTGGAAGGAAGGGCATGTTGGACATGGGCAGACAAAACTGTTGGAGTGGGGGCTTCCAACTGACACACTAGGGCTGTGTAAGAGGCTATCCATTTCACTGACCAGCAACTATAACAGTTAAACCTGCCAGACAATATTGGGAACAGGTTCCTCCTAACTGCATTTGATAAGGTTCCCCAGGGTAGGCTCATTCAGAAAGTAAGGAAGCATGGGATTCAGGGAAATTTGGCAGTCTGGATAAAAAAACTGGCTGTCCAATAGAAGACAGAGGGTGGTAGTAGATGGAAAGTGTTCAGCCTGGAGCTCGGTGACCAGTGGTGTTCCGCAGAGATCTGTTCTGGGACCTTTGCTCTTTGTGATCTTTCTAAATGACTTGGATGAGAAAGTGGAAGGGTGGGTTAGTACGTTTGCCGATGACACGAAGGTTGCTGGAATTGTGGATAGTGTGGAGGGCTGTTGTAGGTTGCAATGGGACATTGACAGGATGCAGAGCTGGGCAAAGAAGTGGCAGATGGAATTCAACCCAGAAAAGTGATTCATTTGGAAGTTGAATTTGAATGCAGAATACAGGGTTAATGGCAGGATTCTTGGCAGTGTGGAGGAACAAAGGCGTCTTGGGGTCCACGTCTACAGATCCCTCAAAGTTGCTACCCAAGTTGACAGGGTTGTAAAGAAGGTGTATAGTGTGTGGGCTTTCATTGGCAGGGGAATTGAGTTTAAGAGCTGCAAGGCTATGCTGCAGCTCTATAAAACCCTGGTTAGACCACACTTGGAATATTGTGTTCAGTTCTGGTCGCCTCATTATAGGAAGGATGTGGAAGCTTCAGCGAGGGTGCAGAGGAGATATACCAGGATGCTGCCTAGACTGGAGGGTAGGTCCTTTGAGGAATGGTTGAGGGAGCTAGGGCTTTTTTCATTGGAGCGAAGAAGGATGAGAGGTGACTTGATAGAGGTGTACAAGATGATGAGAGGCATAGATACAGTGAATACCCAGAGACTTTTTCCTAGGACGGAAATGACTATTACGAGGGAGCATAATTTTAAGGTGATTGGAGGAAGGTATAGGGGAGATGTCAGAGGTAGGTTCTTTACACTGAGAGTGATGGGCGTGTGGAATGCGCTGCCGGCAGTGGTAGTGGAGTCAGATACATTAGAGACTTTTAAGTGACTCTTGAATAGGCACATGGATGATAGTAAAATGTAGGGTTTGCAGGGTAGTTTGATCTTAGTAGGATAATAGGTTGGCACAACATCGTGGGCCAAAGGACCTGTACTGTGCTGTACTGTTGTATGTTCTATGTAACTGCCTATTAATCAGAACAGCAACTTCCTTACATCATTGGGCCAAAATATTTTGTTTATTTTGACAGATTTATGAACTACTCAGAGGATCGTGTATTTTTAAGTGGATTGAAGTAGATAGTTTATGTTTGCAAAATTATGAGATGTTCATGTTATTATAGAGCTTGCAAGTTTTATCTATTCAGTCTATATTAGGGGAATAGGTAGTATGAGGAGGTGAATGGAGGGTTAGAGAGTGCAGGGTTACGGGGTAACCAGGGCTTAAGGGAGGGTTGCAGTGGTGAGAGGGAAATGGGGTGGGAGGAGTGACAGGACTGTGAGGTGCCCTCATAATTTTCTCCAGGAGATGGACCTTTAACCTGTTCGCCTTGTCATCAGCTTATTTCTGTTTCAAACCTGCCGCAGAAGCTGGCAGGCCTGACTCCAGCCTACTCCTGACACCTCAGCATGAAAATAGCTTTGGCAGGCGCTGCTGGATAGGAGGTGGAATTGTGAGTTAGGAAATCTCATGACTCTCAATTCTTGCCTCTAAGATGAAAGATAACTGGTCCTTCGACTTGGCTAAAGGGCTAGAATTGGGCCTGACTGTTTGCTCCAACACTAAAGCTGTCATGGTTTGTGGGGTTAGTTTGGGAGAACTCCATCAGCATGAGGCAGACAAGCATATAGCACTCTCTGTGTGCACACTCTACATCCAACAGCAGCGTCTAAGCCTAATACAAACTCCAGCATTGGCTATCATTCATGAATGGCAGGATCCCACAGACCACATTCCAACAGCAGCATTAGTCCTGTCAGCTCCTGAACATTAGACTGATCCAATTTTTTATATATATATACTTCTTTGGGGTCCAGGCTGTTATGGCTGCCTAGGCTCCTCCAAAAAATTCACATAGGGAGGCCAGTACACCTCTCAGCATTACAACACTGGGTCCTGTCTTAAGCTCTAGAAAGAAATTTCCAGATTGGGAAGGTTTCATACCCTCTGAATGCCATTTGCCTCATAAAAGACAGGTGGTTTCACCCCTCACAAGGCTCATGAAATCTGTGAAATAGCCAAGTCTTAGTGCAATCAGGTGTCTATCTTTCCTGTATGTTGCTATATATAATCACCATCAGATTTACAGCAGGACATGGTAAAATCCACATGTAATTTCAAGACTGTAACATTTCTATATTCTCTGCTTATGTTTTGTAATTAGTTACATGTATTAATTGAAAGCTTTAGAAGTTTTGCAATTGTTCACAAATTGACCATGTTATATCATTTTAAAATGTCTTTTCTAGTTGCCTCAAGAATTAAGGAAGTGTAATCAAACATAGCATTATGTCCCTATATGATCAATGTCACCACCTAATTTGTTTGGAACATTAAATTGTTCTCATAAGATGACTGATGAGCGGTGACAAGATCTCTGCTAAAGATTCTTTTCCTACTTGTTTTGAAGCTGCGTGGCTCTTTTTTTGTATGCCAAGTAAGTCATTGGTTCGAAGGCCATTGATTTCACCTTCCTCTGTAGAAACAGAGAATCTTCTTTCCCTTTGCGTAAAATATTGATGTTTTCTTCATACGCTTGTTTGATGGATGTGAGGATAAATTTGTATGCTGTTGCATTCTCAATGACCTGTGAAATGAAACAAATCCGTATTTAACTTGAACAGAACATGTTCATGTACCTATATCTATTCGTTGTACTTTGTTTTAAATTCATTGTATGACCAATGTTTCTGAAATTATGTTTCCCTGCATGATATGGGTAGATTTTCCACTTTGGGTACTCTCTGTAATTTTAATGCAAATTGTTTCCATTATGAAAGGGTTTCTCTTTCTCACCCCAACACACCTCCAACTCTTCTCAAACTTACTGGTATTATACAACATGCAAAATCTGCCACAAATCAATGAAATTGATTATCATTTTAAAATAATGTCTTCAACAAAATTTTGCTTAAAATTTGATATATTTAATATTGGTAACTTGATAACATTAGCTTTCTACTTCTGTAAATTTGTCACAAGGTGTATTATCAACCCACCTACTAAGTAATCCAATTATAAACTGCTGAAGATGGCTTTAAAGAAACACAGCACGTTTTTTTGCTTAGAATGGAGTATAGGATTCACTTAGTATTTTTATTCAAGAAGTTTCTACTGGTATTCTTAGCTTTAGTTTTCAGATGCAGCTCATAGGCTTGCAAATAAAATGCAGAAACCTCTCAATAGTGATTAATTCTGTTTGGAGGTATGGCCAGTTTTGTAAGTAGGATGTTTCTGGTCCAATGTTTTCAGAACAAATGAAAAAGTTAGCAAACATTTGAGTGATGCTGAACATAATTTGTGTTTAAAATTTCATAATCTCATTTGCCCGGTATGACAGAAGTACATCAGAAAACCAGTAGTGAATGACAAAAAGGAGCTTTTAAAAGTTCCTGAGCTTTAAAAATTGCCCACAAAGCTTACTGGGCTTCAGAGAATAGATTCCCCTATTCCAATTTGGTTTTCAAACCATGCCATTCGGGAACAGTGATGAGGTCAAGCAGGTGAGCAGCTAATCGGACAGAAGATTTCTCACAGTCAGCATACCAAGAAGTAAAAAAAGGCTTATAATGTAAATTTTAGTAATTATATCACAGAATATCACAAATAAACTTTGAAAATAAATTTAAAATGTCTTTATTATTTTTAAAATATCATGGTGATTCTATCATGAAATCGAAGGAATGTCATTCCAAACTGAGAAAATTTCCGGGCCTTTAAAGACTTTTTTTTCCACCTTTGGACTGAAAAATGGGTGAAGCTACTGCTTTAAATGAAGGATACTGGAAGAACATGTTGCAGTTTTAAAAAATTAGTTACTGGAACTCATCCTGAGTTGTATCTACAATGTTACTTTATTCAAGGAATGGGAGTAGGAGGGATGTTAGATGTGTGTTCAGTAGCTTTCAATCAACTAATTATGGTGAGCTCAGGAGGGCTCAGCAGTGTAACAACCACATGATTGCAACTACAGCCTCGTATGTAGACAATAGGAGTAGAAATCTCTAGTCTGCAAAAAGAAAGCAGCTCAATCTCTCTCCTCATCCTGTGTTGAGAAGTAACATAAAATCTCCCTGTAGCTGTTCACACTCACCATGTTAATGTAAACTTTTATCTCTACAAATTGTCAGTTGAAAGGAAAAAGGGAAAAGCTACAGCAAACTTTGTTTTAACTGGCACCTTATCAACTAGCAACCTTGATAAACCAGCAAAAATTACATACCTCAAATACGTACTGTGGTGTCCGAGTACTTATGCTTTAAATAAAATATAACAGTGATGTGTACACCCCCTGCATTGCATTTCCATTACTTACCATGTGTTTTTACATTGATTTTAGAAGCTGTGTTGATATTTTCACATAGATTTTTTGAGGGCTGTTAATGGTCAGAGTTTACTGTGGGTATGCATACCCCTAGACTATCCAGAATATTTGATCAACCGGCACACTCTGATCCCATAGGCTTAATTCACACATGGGATGAGGGCATCCCATCTCCAATTGCTCAGATGGCAGTTAAGAGTCAACCACAATGCTGTGGGTCTGGAGTTACATGTAGATTTCTTTCCCTACAGGACATTAGTGAACTAGATGGATTTTTCCAACAATCGGCAATGGGTTCATGGTCATCATTTACAGTCTTAATTCCAGAGTTTTTTTTTGTATTGAATTCAAATTCCACCATCTGATGGGATTTGAAGCTTTGATCTCTGGATTAGCAGCGCAGTGATAATGCCATTGGGCTGCTGCCTTCCTTTATGTCAGTTCATAAAAAGTTTGCTGTACCTTCAGAGACTCTAAAAGAGGCAAACTTTCACCCAGTGAATGAAAGTCAGTATTGGTGTGCGATTAACCTTGTCTCATCAGCAAAGAAATGAAAGGAAACAGAAGGAATCAAAGAAAACAATCAATTGCTGTGGTCCAGATTGGTGCTATCAAAACGTTTCCCCCTTGTTTTCTGCAAAGCTGTGCCCCCTTTATACCCTAAACAACCGTATCTTGTCTCTTTGTACATCTGTGTCTGCTGTTATGCATGTGGGAATTGTACAAATAGGGAGAGTCTAAGTTATAGAGTTGTAAGTTAGAAATTCATGTTTCTTTCTTGGCATTAGTTAATAACATTTTGATAACAATGATGTTATTTTCTTGTTGATGAAAATTCTGGTGTGCATGTTCTTTTAACCCAAATTAGACCGTTTGGTAAAGTTGGACAATTCGGTCGTTTAATCAAATTTTACATTTGTCGCAAGTCCAGGAAATGTGGATCTTGCTCTCCAGTGCACTACCCAAGTGAATTTCTACAATGTATTTTGTAAATAGTAAACACTACTACTACTGAGCATCAGTGCTGGAGGGAGTGAATGTTTGTGGATGTGGTGTCTATCAAGCAGGTTGCTTTGTCCTGGGTAGTGTCAAGCTTCATGAGTGTTGTTGCAGATGCAGCCAGGCAAGTGGGGAGTATTCCATCTCACTCCTGACTTGTGCGTTGCGCACGTGGACAGGCTGTGGGGAGTCAGGAGGTGAGTTACTCACTGCAGTATTCCTAGCCTCTGACCTGCTCTTGTAGCCACGGAATTAATATGACCACTCCAGTTCAGTTTCTACTCAATAGTAACCCTCAGAATCCCTCAGTGGGGATTCAGTGATGGTAGCACCATTGAATGATTAAATTCTCTCTTGTTGGTGATGGTCATTGCCTGGAAGTTGTGTGGCACAAACATCACTTGCCATTTCTCAGTCCAAACCTTGATATCGTATGGCTCTTGCTGCATTTGGACATGGACTGCTTCAATGTCTGAGGAGTCAGAATGATGTTGAACACTGTGTAATCATCAGTAAACATCCTACTTCTGACTTTGCAATGAAAGGAAGGTCTTGATGAAACAGCTGAAGACTGTTGGAACAAGAACCATCTTCTTTTGTGCTCGGTATGACCCAAGCAGCAGAGAGTTTTCTCCCTGATTCTTATTGACTCTAATTTTACTAGGGTTCTTTGACACTACACTTGGTCAAGTGTGGCCTTGATGTCCCCTCAGCTCTTCTGTCCATGTTTGAATGATGGTTTGCAACGACATCAGGAGCTGAGTGGCCCTGGTGGAACCCAAACTGGTCTGTTCAACCCTTTGATCCTGAATTACACAGCAGGAGGTAACTGCTAAGTAAGTGCAGCTTGATAGCACTAATGATGGCATCATTGATTACTTTATGATCGTGAGATGACCATTGGGATAGTAATTGGCCACTGCTATAGAACAAACCTGAGCAATTTTTCACATTGGTGGGTAGATTATAGTGTTATAGCTATACTGAAAACAGCTTGGCTAAGGCCGCAGCACATTCTGGAGCACAAGCCTTAGTACTATTGCTGGAATATTGTCAGAGCCAACAGATTTTGCAGCATCCAGTGCCTCCAGTCATTTCTTGATATCATGTAGAGTGAATCGGATTGGCTAAAATCTGACATCTGTGAGGAGGCCGAGATAGATGTTCAACTCAGCACTTATGGCTGAAGATTGGTGCAAATGCTTTAGCCTTTCTTTTTTGCACTGATGTGTTTGTCCCAGTCAATGAGGATGGGGCTTTAGCCTTTATTTCTTGCACTAACGTGCTTGACCCAGTCAATGAGGATAGGGCGTTTGTGGAAACACCTCTTTCAGTGAGTTGTTTAATTGACCATCACCATTCACAACTGGATGTGGCAGGACTGCAGAGCTTAAATCTGATCCGTTGATTGTGGAATTGGTTAGGTCTGTCTATCTTATACTACACTATTTGGTATGCGAGTAGTCCTGCTTCGTAGCTTCACCAGGTTGACGCCTCGTACTTAGGCGTGTCTGGCGCTGATCTCCTGCACTCTTCATTGAACCAAGGTTGATCCCCTGGTTTAATGGTAATGGTAGAGTAGGGGAATATGCTAGGCCATGAGGCTGCAGATTATGCTGGAGTCAAATTCTGCTGCTGCTAATGGCCCACGGCACTTCATGGCAGCCCAGTTTTGAGTATCGAGTCCAAGACTCATACAGTAGAGAAACAGACCCTTCAATCCAACACCCACGCGCAGACCAGACATCCCAGTCGGACCTAGTCCCATTTTCCAGCATTTGGCCTGAATCCCTCCAAACCCTTCCTACTTGTATAACATCCAGATTAAATGCCTTAAATGTTTGTGACTGACTTGTACTTGCCTCCACCACTTCCTCTGGCAGCTTGTTCCATACGTGCACCATCCTCTGAGTGAAAACGTTACCCCTCAGGCCCTTTTTAAATGTTTCCCTTCTCACCTTAAACAAATGCCCTTAAGTTTTGCACTCCCCCACTGTAGGAAAAAGGCAGTTCACCTTATCCATGCCCCTCATGATTTTATAAGTCTCTATAAGATCACACCTCAGCCTCTGATGCTACAGGGAAAACAAGCCCCAGCCTATTCAGCTTCTCCTTATAACTCAAACCCTCCAGTCCTGGCAACATCCTTGTAGCCTTCCTGCTCCTATGATGCTGCTTGGCCTGCTGTGTTCATCCAGCTCTACATATCTGCACTCTCTCAAGTGTAACAGCACCATTCCTGTAGCAGGGTGACCAGAGTTGTACACAGTATTCCAAAAGTGGCCTGATCAATGTCCTGCACAACTGCAAAATGACGGCCCAACTCCGATACCCAACTCCTGACCAATAAAGGCAAGCGTACCAAACTCCTCCTTCACCATCCTGTCTACCTGCAATTCTGCTTTCAAGGAACTATGCACCTGCACCCCTAGGTTTCTTTGTTTAGAGCTGCTAGATCTGTTCAAAATCAATCCATTTAGTGTAGTGATAGTGTCAACGAATACGATTTAGGATATTCTTGATGTGAAAATGGGACTTTGTCTCCACAATGACTGCACAGTGGTCACTCTTATCAATACGGTCATGGAAAGATGCACCTGTGGCAGATAGATTGACGAGGATGAGGTTAAGTATGTTTTTCCTCTTGTTGGTTCCCTTATCGCCCACCAACAACTCAGTTTAGTAGCTACGTCCTTTGGGACTCAACCAACTCAGTCAGTGGTTGCACTGTTGAGTCACTGTTAGCGGTTAACATTGAAATCTCCCGCTCAGATTACATTCTGCACCCTTGCCACCTTCCTTGCTTCTTCCAAGTGGCATTCAATATGAAGGAGAACTGATTCAGTCACTGAGGGGTGGGGTGCCACTTCCCAGCTTGCAGTGTTTGAAGTGGTGCGCAGCTGGGTTCTAAATATGGCACCAGCAGTGTACGTGCCAGAAGGTCCCAGCAGCGGCGAGTGTTTTCGTTCCTCCTGCTGTGTATTTTGGGATCAAAGGGTTGAACAGACCAGTTGCATAATTAATAGTGTGAAAAATGGAAGATTGAATGACAGAAGTTGCTCCGCTCATAGCAAATTGTATGCCATGAATCTCACGACAAAACACTAACTGCAAATGGGAAGATTCCACCCTTGCAATTTGAGATGAATCCCCAATGGGCCAATAAGACTATTCAATCAAGGCAGCCGCATTGGCTGATGTCATCAAATCTGGCCCAGGCTGATTTCAAAGCAGGGGTTCAACTCTATTGGCTATTTTTTGTGGTTGTGTCCTTGTTCCATGCAAAGCTAACAGATGATAATAGTCATTTATACTTTCCTAGTTGTGATGAAAGATAAATGACCTGATAGCGCATGAGCCACGGAATGTTGCAGTTTCTTTTATGTTTTAAATGTGAACCCTGGCAGATGTTTGAGAGGCAGCATCGCTGTGATGTCAGTAACGTTTCATTGTTTACTGCAATAATTTTACAGATATTGATTGCACAAGGCTTCTGGTGGTGAAGCCTGGCACGCAACTTCCTGTATTGCAATTCTGTGCAGTGGAAGTGCTACAATTCTAAATCACACTCCCAGCAGCGTGAAGCGTACAGTAGACAGCAATATAAATGACGGCACAGAAAATCATTCATCCTCTTATGGCACTGGATCCAGCTTCTCCTGAGCTATTCATGAGCACTGACCCCCTCAGTCACCTCTGCCCAGGCTGTCTTTATTGCCTTTCATAGACAAAAGAATTTCCCTTCGTCCACGAGGATCTCTGACATTTCATGGGAATGATAAGCAAAGATTGAATGATGTTCCTGTGTTGTAGACAATGAAGTGTTGTATGCGTACCTCATAAATATGGTGCCCAGATGTTGGTAGCCAGATGGTCCTGCTGGACGTCTTGCCTATAGAGTTTGCTGTCTTACGTGCACACGCAAATGTAATATGCTGGGAAGAACATAGGTGCAGCGAAAAATCCACTCGGCCCCTCTAATAACTCAGGAATCCCGACTTGAAAGGAACATCATTTATTGTTGAACGCCAAATTAGAGCCACTACATGTGCATACGTAGGCTTGTCCCAGTCTGGGACAAACATAGTTCTGTAGACCTATCCCAGTATTGCTTTATCATTTTTTACTCCTGGGTCTGCTTTTTTTTGTGTGTTTTTTAAACTACTACCCACCTTCAGTAAAAGCACCAGTGTAGCCAATTCAAGATCTACATGCAAAGCCCATTATGGGCAATGCAAATTGGGTCTGCTTTATAATGTGCTCAGGTGATGAGTTAGAGCTGCGTAGGTCACAGCCGTTACCAAGATAACTCAAAGGAAGATTAATTAGTGATTTCCCCGTGGGCCTTGCAGGGGTATCATAGCCCCCAAGTGAAGTACTTCATATTTTTTAGGCTCACCACGATACTTAGCCTCAGAAGAGAAAATTGCACAAAATTTTTTTTTCATATTTCTGCCATTTTCTTTTTCGTATTATTATTATTATTTTGCCTAGCTCAGCTTTTAGGGGGACCAACATTTACTTTAAGCTAGATTTTTTTTTCATACACTTGTAAAACTTCTTACAATCTGTTTTTATACTCCTAGCTAGTTTACTATCATTCAATAAAAACTGAAAGAACTACAGATGCAGTAAATCAGGAACAAAAACAGAAGTTGCTGGACATGTCAGCAGGTCTGGCAGCATCTGTGAAGAAAAAAAAAAATCAGAGTTAAC